GCTGCGGTGGCGGCTGCTGCAGGTGATGAGTGTAGCGGTGCTGGGGGCCAGTGGCACCCCGCAGCCACCCAACATCCTGCTCCTGCTCATGGACGATGTGAGTGCGGGCTGGGCTCCGGGAGAACGCTGCGCACGGGGCGGCGGGTGGGGGAGTCCCGTGGGAGGAACGGCCGTGAGGGCCGTGAGGGCGGTCAGCCGGTGTAGGGGTAGCGCCTGGCCCCGCGGAGTGCAGCCTGGCGGGCGAGTGACGCTGAAGCGAGGGAATGATGTCCTGCCTGTGAGAAGATCCCTCCGCGTTATTTGTTCCCTTTCTTGCCCCTCCCGCTCTGGAAGGGCGGAAGGGCCGCCCGGATCAGTCTCGTAGCAGCCCCTGCTCAACCCTGCCTTCCCACCCCGTGCGTCCAGGGGCAGGGAAGGGAGTGACAAGCTGACCAAGACTGAGGCTCTGCCTGTTTAGAAAGTCGATTCTCTGCACCTGCCCTGCCCCAGAGCTGCCCCTGTCCACCTGGGCAGGTATCTCTGGCCCTGTTGAGAATTCTAGTCACAGGTCAGGTCTTTAGCTGAAGTGGAATAATGTCCCCTGTCAGGTGTTTGTGGACCAGCCCTTTGGAGAGTAGCAAGGTAGCAGGATTCCTGCATGGGAGCAGAGTGGTTCACTTGTCCCTTTGCAACCCTGCCCCTGTGCACGTTTCCAGACCGGGAGTGAAATAGGAATTCTGGTAAAGTAGGGATGCAGACAAACCTGGGCTGGAGGTCCTACTCCCCTGAGCTTGGAGAAGTTACTGGAGCTCTTGGAGCCTTGTGTCCTCTCCGTCCAGCTCTCCTCACGGTGATGTGAGGACTGAGGCAGGGCAGAGGGCAGGCTGTGATGTCAGGTCCTGTAGTATGATCAGACAGTGTCCTAGCATACAGCTCCCAAAGCGCTTGGAGTGAGAGTGGAGTCTGGTGTGGTAATGAGTTAGATGGCTGGGGCCCTGGGTAGCTTCAGGATGAGGTCCTCAGAAGGCCAAGGTGTGATTAGAGGTGTGATTGAAGCCTTCAGCACAGCCCTGACCTCCAGGGAGGGAAGAGTGAGTGGCTGGAGATTGAGTTCCATCGCCAGAGGTCAATGATTCAGTCAATTGTGTAACAAGACCTCCTTTGGAAAAAACCCTAAACAACAGGAACATGTGGAGGAGCAGGAGAGAGCGGGGAGCTTCTTGCGCCTTCCCCATACCTCGGCCCAGGCACCTCTTCCTTTATAACGAACGTGTAATAGTAAATATAGCACTTTGCTGAGTTCTGTGAGCTGTTCTAGCAAATTGTGGAACTTGAGCAGGTCTGTACTCCCAACTCATAGCAGGTTGGTCAGAAGTTCAGGAGGCCCAGGACTTGTGGCCGGCCGCAGGGGGTCAGTCATGTGGGATTGAGCCCTTGACCTGTGGGGTCTGAGGCAAGCTCCAGGTAGATAGCGTCGGAACGGAACTGAATTGTTGGACTCCTAGCTGGTGCCCAGAAAATTGGAGAAGTGGCTGGTGTGGAAATCCCCCACAGTCGGTGTCAGAAGTGTTGTGAGTAAATACAGCTCAGAGTTCCCCAAAAGGCCAGCAAAGACGCTCACTGGAGCCTTTGAACGAAGGCCGGGAGCCTCACATGGCTGTTGGACAGCCCTGGCTGGTCTGGATGGAGACGTGCCGAGTGTGTAAAATATACTCAGATTTTGAAGACTCAGTAAAAGAAAAAGAATGTTTTTTAAAAAAAATCTCACTTAGCCCTGGCCGGTGTTCTCAGTAGTTAGAGG